ATCTTTTCATATGCCATCCCATCACTTTTGCTGTGTACTATTCATTGGAAGAAATTCACCAGGCCCAGCTCACAAACAAGTGGAGGGAATTACACAAGGGCATGAACAGCAGGAGATGGGGCCACTGGGGACAATCCTTATTTCCAGGGACCATCTCAGAGGCTGTCCAGCATAATTAGATTCAGAAAAGAATGGAAGAGAGGAATGGAAACAAACCTAGACAGTGCTCTGGAGAAGTCTTGTTAAAAGATAAAAAGAAATGAGGGGATAATTGCAGAAGGATTTAGAATTAAAGGATATTTGAATTTTATTTGTTTTAAAACAACCAGATCATGATAATCAATAAAGGTGATATATTTGATTGAATATGTAACAAAATAGAAATCTATTTTATACCTTTATTCTGATACTTCCTAGAGGTCTTGTGAACAACAATGCTCAAGTTTGTTAGTTACAAAACTGAGAGGGGATTTTTTTTTTTTAATGGTGTGTTTCATACTCATATAGGGGGTCAGAAACAAAAGTATCTGTATCCCAGGACTTCCAGGATGCTTACCTGTACACTCTCTAACTGCTGAAATCAGCCACATTTCAGCAATCATCTGGTTCTGTTTAGGCAAATGAAACCAATAGGTCTCAGTGAGAACAGACATTCTGTCTTGGCTTAAAAACAAGCCTACAGCTGCTTGGAAAGGCTGGGTACTGGGCAGAGACCTGCATGTGGCAAACGGCCCAGTGATGCCAATTAAAATGTTACCCAACTGGAGTGATCATTTAAATCTAAATATGTCAGCAGTTGCTTTATCTCCTGACTCTACACTACAACAGCACAATAACATGTGTGCTAAACACAGAGACTAAAGAAGATGAACGGGCCAATTAATTTGCAAAAGCAAATATCCCAAATCTGTGTCTGATCTTAATCCACTGAGAAGAAATGAGTCTTAGGATCTCCTGGAAATAAGGATCAGACAACTGCAGTGTTTGGGGAGAGTAATAAATAATGAGCCTTCTTCTCCTTCCACCTTCAGAACCAACTCAAAATAAGACACAGAATGGAAATTAAAGTGTTCGCTTTGCTACTGATAAGAGATCATGTCTTCAGAGTTGAGTCTGTTCTACTCCCTGTCCCAGTCAGTCCAGATCTTGGGCCACCATTAACTTATATTGATCCTGAGAGGTGAGGGAAGAAAAAGAACATGAATCTTCACAGCTTATAGCTTCTGATGGATTTGCTCTTCTTTGAGAAAGATTAGCCATTGGATGTCACTTGCCATAACATATGTAGGGGCCAAAAATTTTCAGTGAGTAAAATGCTGGATTATGTTGTTGCAGGGTTAGTGAGAAATACTCTTTCATCAGCTTGGACTATCAAAAAAGCACACAAGTTCAAGTAGTGACCTGTATAATGTACCCAACTGACTCTACACTGAACCAAGAAAACCCTTAATGGCTTCCAAATCGTCACTTTTTACCCCCCTTCTCCCCTTCCCAACAGAGAAGATAAGAATGTTGAAAACAGGAAACAGGCAGAGGACAGACGCCAACTAACCTACCTCAGTTTGCGTGCTTTCAAAATTCATGTTAGCACAGGATTTTATTGAAATTCCTTCCTCTTCTGGAAGGGAATGAGGAAAGAGTGGACAGAGGCCTGGGGCATTTCCTGGCAAAAGTTCCTCCACAAAGAAACATGGCATGGCAGGGAGGGTGGGGGGCTCCTCTCTAGCCAGAGAAGTGCCCAGCTCCTCCTGGGGCTCCGGGATGCCTGCTCTATAGGCAGCTCATCGCATGTGTGAAAGGCAGGCCAAATACACAACAATAAGGGAAATCCAGCAGGTTTTATCAAGCACTTACAGTGCACCAAACCATATTCCATGTACTGGGAATGCAGGGATAAATTCACACTCAAGGTCACCCAGGAAAGCTAGTCTGGAGTAAGACCTCACCTCAACCATCACGATGAGCCTTAAAGAGTTTTATAGTATGAATACTCAACTACTGTGGGGGTTAAATGGAGAGTCTCATTCCCTGGAGTCATTCCCTGCTTTCCCAAATATATCCCAGGCACTACGCTGAATTTGAAGGTTCCAGTAGGGCAGGAAACAGAATGTGCATGGAGCTTACCTTCCATGATCGTAAGTCTGCTTTTGGAGAACACCCTAAGGTGGGCTCTACTCCACCAGAAACTCTGTATGATCTACAAAGTCCCTCTACTCTGATTCTTCTTGAACTCTCTTGGTCTCTCATATTTGATGTGCAGCCAGCTTCCTGCTGGTAATACTAGACTCATCCTAAGCATCCCCTCTTCCGGGAAGCCTTCCCTGTCCCCTTAGCAAGTTGGGCTCGGAGGCTTTGTGCTATGCTCTTGGCATATTGCGTGGGCTCTATCCTCAAGAGAACCTCATTTATGTTCCTTGAGGGCAGGGGCAGTTTCTCTTTCAACTTCACACTCCTCAGCGCTGATCACGGTGCCTACTGCAGAGTGGGTACTCAGTAAATATTTGATGCACCTTAACAGTTCTTCCAACCCAAATGATCTCAAGTGCTCCAGTGCCTAGGAAGCCCCAAATCTCAAAATCCAGAGATAGGTTAAGGATGAAACCAAATGTGGATGATTGCTGCCCGGCTGTGGCTGGCCGACCACCCTGGGGGAGGGCATGGGATACTTGAGGTGGGAAGAAAGGGGACGAGCAAAAATATCTAACCTTATCTGAGTGCCAGGAACTTCGCTGAACCTGCAGCGAAGTAAACGGACACCGCACTTCAGGTTATTTGAGACAGATGTTCGGGTCGGAAGCCGGAGCTGGGGAGGCCTGGGCCGCCGCCCACCCCACTCGCCACAGGCAGCCGGCAGGGGGCGCGCGAGGGCCTCCGGACGCGGCCCGCGGGGCGGGCGCTGGGCTGGTGCCCGACCGGGCGGGGCGCTGGGGCAAATTTTTGGTTGGCTGCCGCCGGGTGCTCACTGCCCAGGCCCCTTTTAAACTTGGTCTCTCCCTCTTCTTCCCTTTTCTGCTGCGGTGCACGGCTCGGTAAGTGGTTTCTGACCGGGTCGACGCCGGAGCCCGCCATGTGGCTGGGGGACTCTCCAATGGCACTTACTAGGCGCGCCCCTCCTTGTCCCCGGGCCTGCCCTGTCCGGGCGCCCGACACCCGGGTTCGGCTTCAGCTCGGCGCCCCCTTGGGAGAGGTCTCCCACCCCCGAGGGGAGCCGCAGTGAGGGTTTCTCTGAGGCGGGGAAGTCCTCGTGGTGCGGGGTGGGGAGGCGGCCTTCCTTACCGGAAAACGACCCTGGTGGCACCTAAGACCCCTTCTTTCCCCCAGGGTCCGAGGTGCTCAGTATTTCGTGTGCCTTTGACCCCGACTCTCAAGGGATCTGGGCCATATGGAGCTTGAAACGCCTTCTACAGTGGTGGAAAAAACCCCCAACAAAACACATTTTTAAACTGACCCGAGGCAGAGACGCAGAGCCCGGGACGGTGTCCAGATTCTTGGCGCACGCGGGGGTCTCCGCCTGCCTAGTGACTGACCACGCGGACGCGGCCAGTTTAGGGAGCGGGTGAGATCACCCGCCTAAAACGCTTTAAGTTTCCGTGCCGAGCAGTGCTAATTCCGGTGTTCGCAAAAAACGGAGGTAATTTCGCCCACATTGACACTCCCCCACCACAAATGCCTTTCAGTTGCCACTTCTCGCGGCAGTTGGGCTTTTTAAAAGGTTTGGGGCTGAGTCTTGCGGGATCGACTAACTGCTGTGAGCCTTTAAAGAGGGAGCCTGCTATTTCCTCCCCCAGATTCACCTTTTGGGGAGTGACTGCGGTATGCAGCAGGAGACCCTCTAACATCATTTTCAGGGTGTGAGGCCCGTCGTGGTTTTTCTGTCCCGGGAAGAAATCGGAACCATTGGGGTTATGTGTTCTACTGGTATACATTACTGTAGAGAGGGCTATTTTCCAAATTCAGTAAAATTTGTAGAGATCTAGGTTGAGAGTGAATGAATGAGGAAATCTTTCTAGTTATCACTGATACCGCGAATAATCTCTTAAAATGTGACGCTCTTGGTGTGTTTACATATTTGCTTCATTTGTGAAAGACCCTTTTATTGATCGGGAAATATCTAATTTTACTGATTTGGAAACCGAATAGGACATTCATTTTATCCTGCTTTTAAAGAGGAAACAAAACGTCGCGTTGCAAGCTGTGTCCTGGGCACCATCCCTTTTCAGCTATGTATGTGTGTGTGTGTATATATATATATAAAATATAGGAAGGGACCCCCAGGGACCTACCCTGACTACCTCCATCGCTAGTGAATGGCACTACAACATAGGGAAATGCAGTGGTCTGGCTTTGTTTTACACCTGATTAAGATATTGGGGGCTCTTGCTGAGCCAAACTTTAAACAGCTCCCTCTGGAAGAGAGGTTGGACTGAGCCAGGAAGGAAGCAGCAGCCAGAGCCAGTGTCTATTTAAAGACTTTTCTCCACTCCCTGGGCTCTAACCCCCACTCCTAGGAAAACAAGTTTCAAGTGTTAAAAGTTTCAGTTTTTCCTAGGTAAATACTGTTGCCAGCAATGTTTTTTTTTTTTAAATTGATACTATTCTGTGCTAATTTGACAAGGTGATAAATTTGGAAAGATGATAACTGCTGACATTTTATAAAAAGGATTCCCACAGTATAGGAATATAGTTCACTAGTCATTTTACTCCTGCCTAGAAATTGCAGATTCCCAGCGTCAGAAAGTTTGGAGAATGTAACTGTTTTACAGGCATTCTACTCAGATAACTTTTTCATCAAAGGTAGCTATCAGATAGCCCAGTAAAAAGAACACTCTAGACCAAAAGAAAAAACCCAAACCATAAAATGTTACCGTATGATATTCTTACCATTGTTTTTCTCACTTTCCTACCAGGCTCAGCCCAGTTCAAGATGCTGACAAACTTCAGGTATTGACCCAAATGGAGAGAATTTGGCTTTAGTTATTAAATAGTTGAATAGAATTCCTTGGCCAAGGATGAGAAAACTAATCTGATTGGATATCGTTCTGCTCTGATGGGTTAAAGGATTTACCTGAGGCCAATTTGACAGGCAGGAATTAAATATTGAAAGCAGTCACATCCCATACCCCCTTTAAAAAGTATAAGTAAAGTGGGGGGAGGGGGAATCCTCTAGTAAGTAGGTAATGCTTTATTGTGCCAAGAAAAAGGTTATTTTAGGAAAAAAGTGAATTTTTAAGTGATTGGTATCTAATCTTTCAAAGTGTTTAGCTTTGGCAATGGTGGCCATTTTGAGTTTGAATCTTCCAGAAGGCTGAGGTGAACTGTTAGCATTAGTAAGACAGATTCTGAGTTTAAAAGAAAAAAATTTTTAACATTTCCGTCAGACCATTACTATTCCTGAGTTGACAATGTATAGTACACTGGGAAATTTATTTTACTTACCTGCATAGCTTTTGTAAACATGGTCTAGACGCTGTTTTCTTATTGGCATCTTATTTCATCATTGCTGCTCTAATTACCTACTGTGATACTTCCTTTACAGGCCTGGTGCTTGAAAGAAGCTTTTCAAGAAGATAAGGTGTGTTTGAACAGGTAACGATTGATACATACAGAATAGAGGTTTTGGCTTTCTTTGTCCCTTTCATGGTGGTAGAAGGGGTGAGCTTTTGAGAATGTGCCAAATATCTGTAACAGCATATACCTGCCCCATAGAGAATGTCTGTAGAATTCAATTCTATTATTTAAAAGTTTTTCTACCAACCAGCCCCAGCCTGAAGCTTGACACGGTAACTAGACTGATACAGTCTACAACTATCATAAGACAATTTGGTCGACCACTTTAATTTTAAGTCCCATTTCTTTTGACTATTTTAAAGATTATATGTCCCAAGGTATCCTTTTTAAAACTTTATGTGCTTACAGCTTTTTCTATACTAGATCATTCTAATGATTAAATTTGATCCCTTTGAAAGATCGATAGATTCCTAAGGGTCAGGGAGCAGTTTGTTGCAAAGGGCTTGGGGGAGTCTTGAAGAACTGTTCTACAGTTTGATTACGGTGGTGATTGCATGTGTTAAATTTGGGGGTGAATTTTACTGAATGTGAGTTCTATTTCAATAAACGACTCTTAAACCTTACCCTTTCTGGCATCTGACATTAGATCTCGGTGTGGTATGAGTGGTGTGGGACTCAGTGTCTTGACAATGTATACTAGTAGCCACAGCATAGCAGAAAGCGGAGTGTGAACATTGTTACCCAACAAAATTTAGAATGGCTTTGGCCAATACTGGCTAGCCAGGGCATCCGGTGAGAGAACTGGGGAATAAGTGAGTTTCTGGGTGCTGGGCAATTGGGTTTGGTTTAATCTCAAATTTTGATGCATAAGCTGTATGGGTTACTCCTGAACTTTTTCTCAGGGTATTCAAGAGTGTATTTGAAGAGGGTTGGTTGTGAGTCATCGTCTTTCCTGTGGGTAGTGGGTGTGACCACAAGCCTGTTGAGCCCTATGCCCTGTGACTGGGTGCTGGCAGCTGTGTTGTGCCATCGCACCTATAGGAGCCAGTAGTGCCTTCATTTGCCTCCTTGTGCTTCCAGGTTTGGTACATAACTTCCAAATCCCTTCCTGGTACCATGGCAACACAGCTGTCCAGTACCTTGGTTAAGTAAAATCAGTCAAGGGTCACCAGAAGATGAGTTGCAGCTAGTCCCACAGTTCTGTGGTCCACTTGCCCTCCTTGGCATAGTGCATGCCTGCATGTTAAGCAGAGCTCAAGCCAGAGTGAAGGGTGCCAGCATGGCTGGTAAACTACCAAGACATTCTTTTGTGCTCAAGTGCCTTGGGGAGAAGTGAAGCAAATCTGGAGCTGAATGAAATGTTTTCAGAGGACTGATTTAATACCAAAGGAGGAGCTTTATGACTAAAAGAAAATGTGACTGGAATATAATTTTATTCAATGGTTCTGGTTTCACTGAAAATGTAAAATCTTAGGTAAGAACTCCAGTCACACACACCCCCAGATGTGAATTGCCTGGTATTGCAGTAATGCTGCTGCTGTATCAGTTCAGGTAGTTGGGTCATGTGATTAGATTTCAAGAATGCGGTATCCCATTTTTGACAGGTACTCTTCTGTGTTTCTAAGCTCTTGGGTACAAGTAGTTTTTTTTCTTAAAAGCAAGCAGGTCACTGTAGTTCAAGTGAATATTCCAAACTTGAGTGTTTTTTTGAGGTTCCATGAACCTTAAGCATTTATGTAATTTAGTAAATATTTACTGTGTACCTCTAGTGTGTTAAGTCCTGTGATAGATGATTCCTACCTTTGTGGTGTGATTTTCCCGTGTCACTTTGTAAGATGCAGCTGGTTAGAATGTGTCAACATCTTTTATAAGGAGTAACTTCACTCAGTATCTGAGTCAATATCTGAAAGATTCAATTGTTAGAACAAACTGAAGGGATGTATCTATTTATACCCCCACCACCTTCCCAGAAGGACTTGGGGTGGCTTATAAACAAATAGCAAACAATACAATAGAGGAGAGAATAAAACTCAGCAGAAAGAGAGCAGAATAGAAAACCAAGCCATGAGACCTGCCAACTTGGCTCTATGCCTCCTAGGAGCTAAAGGAAATCCACTTGGTAAAATCAGTGGAGGAGATGGAGGGGGCAGGGTCATGAAGTACCTTGAAGGAAGAGGTAGAATAGAAAAGGTGTCTGGATAACTAAACGGGGATCTAGAGATACTGGAGACATGCAGTTTACCAGTGTAGTGAGGTCAGCCATCCAAGGACCCCTGTGAAGCTGGACCTACTCAGCTGATTAAGCCAAGGTTGAGGATAAAAACCTCATGAGAAAAGCCATATTGAGATTGTGTGAACAAATAAAACCGCCAGAGAGCTGATTGAAAGGCTTCTTTTGAAAAGGTGGCCTTTTCAAAATTTACCTTGTGTTCATAAATTGAAAAGTTCTGATTCTGGTATTTTGTCAAAATTGTGATTTATCACAATCTGGAACTATGCCACCACAGCTAGAACGCCCCCTGGTGGAGTTTATCTGTACTACAAGGGTCTATTATATTCAGGCACCCTCCAGGGTTACCACCTACATTTCCAAAAGGACAGCTCCACATCAATCTGTCCCAAAGATAAAGAGATAAATTCCAGTCAAGTCAGTTTGATGTATGTCACCACAATTTGTTTCTGGGAACAAAGCCGAATGTTGTAGTTGATGGACTGGAGCCCAATACCATTGATTTTCTAGTTGGACAAATGATCTGGCATGTTATCCCCACTATCAAGGGCAGAATAGAGCCCACTGCGTCATTTATAGACCTTCTATAGTGGAGAAATATGGGAATCATCATGGAGTCCAAACTGTACTCTAATGCAGTAGCTATTAGCCACTTGTGGGAATTGAGCACTTGAAATATGTCTAGTGCAAACTGACATATGCTGAGGTATAACATCAGCTTGGGAAGAGTTAATATTTTAAAAAAATGGATATATGATTTTTTTTATATTCCACAGATATAGAAAACAAACTTGTTACCAAAATGGGGAAGGAAGGGGGGAGGGTTGAATTAGGGTATGGGATTAATATAAAAATTACTATATATAAATTAGATAAGCAACAAGGATTTACTGTGAAGCACAGGGAACTATATCCATTATCTTGTAATAACCTGTAATAGAATCTGCAAAAATACTGAATCACTATGCTGTACACCTGAAACTAACAATACTGTAAATCAACTATATTTCAATTTTTTTAATTGTAAAATCTAATTTTATATTGATTACAAGTTAAATGACAATATTTTGGAAATATTAAAACTGTATATATGTGAGTTGCCTTATATTTCTGTTAGGCAGTACTGGTCTAAAACATGAATCAAAATATTCATGGAAACATGCAGATAGTGGTTCCACAATCCAATAGTGAGAAAGATGTTGCTCTCCTACTAGATAGGACCTGGAGGAAATCCAGAATAAAGTTAGCAGTTAAAATGCAGAATTTACAGGTAAGCATCCAATTTGTCAAGTGCACAAGGTTCAGGTGTAGGGAGCCCATGCTGCTTTGAAGACTTGACATAAACTCTACGCTCAAGCTTGCTAGCACTTTGGGGGGTTTAAATAAAAGACTTCAGAATGAATTCATTAAACACTTTGTTCTGAGAGTTCCCTGTGCAAGTACTTGAGTGTTTGTTAAGATAATCCAGGCAGGGGACCTGATGTGCTATATCTCATCAAATACAAGCTCCTTAGTGAAGAACAGTTCTGGTCTCCTGACTTGGTTTAGGGCGCATCTGTGTGTGTGTGTGCTTTTGTGTCTGTAGTAATGTAGTCTTTCAAAAGGGTTTTTCATGGAAGGAGAAAGACTGGGGGAGGTAGCACCATAAATATTACCAGAACTTCTATACCGTATAATTTTAACTACCTTATGTTAAGCAAAGTGTTCACAAAATTCTCTTCCCTTGTTTTCACTTAACTCAGCTCTAAGAAGCTGGTCTGTGTAAAATCCCCTTTTGTAATTTTCTTACTACCAGCGACTTTGTCATTTTTGCCTTTTAACAGTAAGTGGAGGGGACTTCCGGAAGATGGCAGAGTAGAAGGACGCTCGTAAGTCACCCTCTCCCACAAATACACCAAGACCCACATCTACAGACCCACTCAGCCAACCAGAGCACCTGCGGAACTCCAACAGATCATCGCCCTCTTCAAAAGATAAAGACGCCAAAAATCTGGTAGGAGAAAAGGAAAAAAGAAAGAGGAGGAGGGAGCGGCAAAGGAGGACTGGCGCTTGCTCGCTGGGTCTCCCCTCTCCAATTGAGAGGCC